CCAGCACCTATGCACTTTACTCTTCAAAACGAAACTCTTATGGTCTCCCTACCTGTGGGCTAGCTCTCCACCCACAGTCAATCTGTATTGCAATTTATCTGTCTGTCTGTATGTTATGGTTTGTGTTTTTCAATGTGTTTTTCACTGTTAGTGCTTGTTTTATTGCTACTGCTCCTTTTTTCTTACTGTGAAATGTTGTACTGTCTTAATTTGTTTTTATGTTAATGGGACTACGGATGGAAATTAGCGGCAAGCTACAATCCGGCATCTTTACATGTTTTAACATGTTCAACAATGTGCACTGTCCCATTCAAATAAACAAATAAATAAATAAAATAAATGTGAGCGTGAATGGTTGTTTGTCTCTATGTGTCAGCCCTGCGATAGTCTGGCGACCTGTCCAGGGTGTACCCTGCCTCTCGCCCGATGTCAGCTGGGATAGGCTCCAGCTCCCCCGTGACCCTCAAGAGGATGAAGCGGTTAGAAGATGAATGAATGAATGAATGAACTGAATTATTCTGACTTTGTTTAGCTTTTTAAAAAACAGTTTAAACTGAAGTAACCCTTCAGACATGGTACCTTGACCCTAGGTCCATTAACCGTTTCCACCACAAACAGTACCCTTAAATGTGGGTGGGTTTGTTGTCACTCGCTGCTCTGTCCAGCACTCACTGTAAATGGAACAACACCTGCACCTCATTTATTGTCCACAGAACAAGGTTGCACTGCGACATTTTCAGAGCAAAACAGAGCAGACTGCAGTGAGAGTCTCTCTCCATGGGATATTTAAAAATAGCGGGGTTGTGCCTTTAGACCTTCTCAGGCAAGCTCAGGGGTTTATATTTATGGAGCCCACAGGAACAATGCTCCACAATGCTTTTTTTCTCTAAGTGAGGATTAGAATATACACAGTTCACATAATGTTTTCGAAATTAATATATATACTTTTAAATGTTTGAAGATCCACTCATTACTTAAAATGTATGTCATCCAAGAGAGACTGAAAAAACTGAAGTGATGGTAAAAGTTGTCACAGTGCAGTTTAAGCTGTGTTGATTGATTCACATCGTCAACTCATGCATTGAGTAACATTACAAGAAAATGTTCCACCTTTAGAAGCTGCTGGCAGTCGGCCCAATAAATTGAGTTTTTTTGTGCTGCAAGAGACAGCAACATCCTTTATGTTTATGGTTGTATTTTATAAATGTAAAACTTGACACGGTATGAAGAGTGGTTACAAAACCAGCCACAACTCAGCTCTGAGCAGAGTGACCAATCAACGGACTGCAGTGTTCACAGCTCCACCTTTTAGTACCAGATCTGTGTGCTAGGTACCCCAACAGAGGGGGGACCAAAAATGGGGACAGTACAGAACGGTTCCATTGGTACCATCCACAACTTTTCACAGTGGAAACAGAAATAAAGCGTACCAAACTGAACTGAACTGTTCTGTGGAAAAGGGGCTTAAATGTGCATGGCATGTGATCAGGGGTTTATAAAAGTGTATTTTTGTGTATGTGGTTTTCTATTTGTGCATTTATATATGCGTAAATGTATTTTTGTATACATGCTTAGATTATGTTTGCATGTTAGTGTCTATGTATGTATGCAACATATTCTCATATAACTGTTCGTATGGTTCCTATGAATTAACGCTCCACAAATGGGTTTGTGTCCTTAACGCACAGTTATGTAATTAACATAAAGTTACAGAGGTTAGGTTTAGAAAGAAAACATGGTATGGACGTACCCTAAAATGCCTTAAGGCCCGAACATACTCGGGCGGAATGTACGCAGAACGGACTCCGAGGAGGTCTGCGCGGATTCAAAGCAGTCGTCTGCAAGCCCTGTGCGCGCAAAGCTCAGATTTTACGACCGCGCGGACTCCGCTCCACGCACCAGTGACTGCTCGGCATGTATTTTTCACATCGTGGGGATTTTTCACAGACATTTTTACAGGAAACTACAACGCGGAAGCGCGCTCGACTATGGAAGCCCGAATGACTGCGGACGTTCCTCGCAGAGTCTGTTCCGCATACATTCCGCCCGAGTATGTTCGGGCCTTTAAAGTTCACATGGTTCCGAACATGTGACACTAGGGGAAAGTAACAGGCAAATGTCTGTTTTTTGTGACCCCTCCACCACTCCAATCTGCATACTTACAAGCATGCTCGGGACTGCCAACTTGTTAACTGCTGTCAGTGCATTGGTCACGTTATTGCAGAATTTTCAAAAAATGGTGGCATATGAATGAATTTGGGTGCATTACTTTTCGTAGGAAAATGTACAAACAGTTTGTGAGAACAGTTTGATGTATGTTCTTATACATTTTTGGATATCAGTTATTGTTTTCTTACTCTTGGAGTTTTATTACTTTGGCTTGACTGGACCTTGACTGTGTTTATGTAAAGCACTTTGGGAAATCGATTTGTAAAAAGTGTTATATGAGTAAATATTAATATAGGTTATTTATTATTATTATTTACTAATTATTTATTATAGCAGCGCCCAGGCTTGAAGGAAGCTCTTCATTTCCTGTGCTGTTGATTGTTGGGCCGGTTTGTGGAGTTTTACTGATTCTTCTCCTGCTGCTGTTTCTGTATCTCTACAGAAAGTCAAAAGGTGAGAACTTTTACTTCTGATGTTAGACTGACTCTGATGTGATTACATGTACTGTAGTAACAGTCAAACAATTCACCATACAAAACAATGTAACAACAGATGTCTTTTTCCTCCACAGATTCATGCTTTATGAGGTCGGTCCAACACTCTCTTCTCTCATTCTGAATATGACAGTAGCACAGTGCATACGCTTTTTAAAGTCACTGTATTTACTTCATGTTTTGGGCCCACCAGGTCTCAGAGCAGCAGTCGGGGCCCTGCTACAGACCACATGATCAACCAGGATGAAACTCAGCTCAAAGAATATGCTCCTCCTCTCCATGGTCAGCCTTCATCCTGATTAATTTTATGATTTATCATCAACTCTAAGACTAGTACTTCACATGTGATTATCTGTTTTGGTAGTGATGGCCAAATGAAGCCTCATGAACCAGTTTCTTTATTTTCTGACCCCACCAGATGACGGTCTTGGTTTAAATATAAAGGCTGAAGGACTTGCAATGAAGTGTGCTTTCAAACCTTTGTTTAACAGACAGCGCCATCTAGTGGCATCAGAAAATAAAGACAGTGGTTCAAGAGGACTCATTTGGCCATCACTATGTTTTGGAATTATGTAGAATATTGTATAATGTGATCAAAGGTTTTAGTATGACCTTGGCTTGATTTTCACTGCTCTGTAGGCGATGCTGTTCTCTATGAATCAATCAAAGGCTTTGAAGAACCTGAACATGGTAAAATATAGACTTTATGTTTGACACTGAGCAGTTAGATATACTAGAATAAGATGATCAGGTGATTTATTGACAATCCCTTAAGTTTAAACAAATATCTGTTTTAGGTGAATCCAGCGATGTCACATATTCTGTGGTTGAGCTCAAAAACTACTTTATTTTATGTAGTGACAATTACATCAAACACTAGAGGTGCCTTTGTAGACCAGCAGTACCTAAATAAAATACAGGAAGTTGTCTTTTCATGCATTCATCTGATCCTTCAAAAAGGGAAGAAAACAGAGGAGCCAGAGGAGAGCGCAGTTTACTCAGATGTGACGATAAGATCAGCTACAGGTACAGTGAAGTACAATAGATTCACTCTAACTTTTTATTGGGTACTGCCACAGTGTAATCTTTTCATACCACTTCATACCACTCGGTGTGTCTGCAGTGGTCAAATCCTACATTACTTAAAGAGCTCTCATGTACCCCCTGCAGTACCCCTAGAGGTATCCGCACTCCAATTTTAGAAACACCGACCTATTTCTACTAACACCGTAACTTGTATCATATTTCCTGTTGTGTTTTGTTGTATACACTAAGATTATTTTAGATCATGTATGGATGCATTGCTAAAGAAGACAGTGTACATATGATTATGATTGTCTACTGGGGCGTTACTATTTAATCCAAAACATTCATAGGAAAATCACGTCCTGCAGCGGCAAATGAAACTGTTTATTCAGAGGTCAAACCAGGAAAAGCTCTTGGTAATAATACAGCAGCAACACAATGTGCATTTTTGGATAAGTCACTATAGTGATTTATTTTACAGATACAGATAGTTAAATTGGTTAGAAATTGGAGTTAAATGTCATTGAGCACCCTTGCTTCTTAAATAACCCTAACCTTGTTTTTCCTTTTGGTTTTCAACCAGATCAATAGAGAGATCTGCATCAACAAGACCAGCAGAATGGATGACAACATGAATAACTGCATCAGTGTTTAAACAGTATTTGCTATTTTTATTTAATTATTGTGTGCAGCTCCGCTATGCAAATATCAGACATTATTCTGTACAGTTAAACTAATGGCAGATCATTTAAAGAAAATGATTATGTGGGTCTTAAGCTTCTGTATTGTTAAAAGTATGGTTGACCATTTCTTGTATCAATAAACTTTTGTTCCAGTAGTTTGCTATCAGCAGTGTTTTTAGTTGTTCTTGCATGATTTCCTGTACATAAGCAGTTTATTTATTCTTCTATCTTCTCTCTGATTGTAGTGATCCAGTAAAATCAAGCTTTTGTTAGACGTATGTTTCTTTGATAGAAATCTTAAAACTTGCACATTTTTATGCAGGTGACATGCTTTTATGTGTCAGCGGCTCTTCTATTAATCAGGCCATGGAAAATCTACACACTGCTTTTGATACATTTCAGATCTCTCTCATCAAACATGAGCTTCTTTTAAATTCTGGTAAATTTAAAACAAATTTATGCTGTTCTCTAGGTCACAGGTTTCCAACCTGGGAGTCCTGACACCCACTAAGGGTCACCAAAGTTTCACAGTGGGTTTGGAGGCCTTCTTGATTTTAAGGGGTGTAAGACAACTTTTTTCTAAAAAAGATACACAGTAGGCCTATATCTTAGCATTTCATTTATTTCTGTGAAGATATCAATATATACATATATATTTAAGTGTATGATTGCTAAAAAAAAAAAGACATAATACAGACAGAATTGTAAAGAAAGTTACTGAAAATATCAAGAAAACTCACCTCTGATGCAATAATCAGGAAATACTCTTCAAAATTCATTTATTGTGTTCACTATTGGGTTAATTGTACAGTTTATCCTTGTTCTGTGTTGTTGTTATGCATTGAACATAATATCAATAAAACATGTCACTTGGTAAGGGGTCGTTAGTTTACTCAATGATAGAAAAGGGGTCTCTTAAGGAAAAAGATTGGGAACCACTGGTTACCCATAAATATCCAGCCTACTGTCCATATCCAAACCTTTCTGGGTTCTGCAATTGAAATTGTTGAAAGTTATAAATCTTTGGGACTCTGGCTGGGTATCAGACTCACTTTTAAGACCCATGTGGAACACCTATCAAGCAAACTGAAGGTCAAAATTGGAGTTTTGTCCAGAGACAAATCTTGTTTTCCTCCTGCTAGTCGAAAGACCATTGTTTAATCTACAGTCACATCTGCTCCTGATTATATTGTATATCTGACTGTATATATGCTTCTTCCTCCACCTTAAAGCCTCTTGGCTCAGTGTATCACAGTGCTGCACTTCAACATAGGTGGTACATTTCTCACGCTCCATTGCATCTTCTATGAAAAGGTGGGATGGTCTTCCTTAACAGAAGTAGCATTCTATCTTGTTTATTTACAAGGCTCTTCTGCAAAAAACTGCTGTTACCTCTGCTTTCTGATTCTTACTCTTCATAGGTTTCATTTTTAGACTAACAACTTCCCTACAATGTCAAACATTATACACTATGTGGTGAGACACTTACTGTGGTACTGTAAGTATTTTAAAGGGCCATTTTAATCATTTTCAACCTGAATCTAAATGCTGTAATGTAGTGAGGGCATGTGGAAATATGACATGTAAACCGCAATTCATTTGCTTCTCTCTGCCATCTGCTGTCCACCCCATGATGTAAAACATGTCTACACTACACTTAGTCATATCTCTCATGAAGATAGGGTTGTTTACAGTTGATTAGCTTTTTTTAGAGAAAGAAATAGCAATTACAAACACTGCTGACAGCTTTGTGCTGGAACAAGTTTATTGATGCATAAAATGCTCAGACATAAAGAAGACATGTTAAATCCATCCAGGTGAAACTAAAGTACAGACAGTATCTAATCACAGCATTAAAAATGGGAGAACAGAGGGAAACTTGTATGTGTGACAGGATAAATGGTTTGACAACAGATCAAATGTTGTAAATCTGTGAAGCTTTTTCATCAAAAACTGAAAAAGATGCTGACGTTATAGGCGCTCGATCACCTGAAGCTCAGATATTTCAAACTTATTTGGAACAAACTGCATTTTAAGTTGTATACAGGAGCTTTAAAAACAGTGACAGTAAATTGTAAGAAGCAATACAAGACATAAATATTATAGAAAAACATGAAAAATGTATATATGTATATATATATATATATATATATATATATACATATATATGAGACTAGAATTATATGTGAAAAAAGCATTTGTGTTGATCCAGTAGAAGACAACATAAAAACCATATGATGTATTTCTTTGAAATGATCTGCTACTAGATTAACTGTACAGAATGCTGTCTGATATTTGGATAGCAGGGGTGCTCACAATAATTACATAAAAGCTGCAAATACTGTTTAAACAAAGGTTTAGTTTATCATGTCATCCATTCTGTGGGTTTTGTTGATGCAGAGCTCTTCATTGATCTGGAAGAAAACCAAAGGAAAAGGAGAATTAAGCTTTTTTAAGAATGAATGGGTGCTTTTTGACATTTAACTCTGTTATTACACAACATGAAATGAAAAATAATATAAAAATAATAATATCAAAAACTGTAAAAGCTCTTGTGCACTGTAATTATTAGGTATTTAAACAGTTTTTTTGGGGGGTGGTGTGGAATCAATAGTCAGCCTAGCGAGGGAGACTCCACCGCTATTTAGGTTCACCAAAATTTAGGAGAAGGCACCAGGTCATAGACGTATGACGCACACTTTAGTTGATGGAATGGTAAAACTTTTTTTGAGTGCATAGGTTACAAATTCTTACCACTGGAAAATGTAAGAGTCACTTTAGGCCTACAGCAATGAAAAATGAAAATTGGAATGTTAAACAAAATAACATTCATTTCCATATCATTTTCCATATTGTTTGTGAGAGGCTAAAGCGCCACATGAGGCTCCAGAGCTGCAGGTTGCCTACCCCTCGTGAAGGATTTGACAATTGCTGACTCCTGGTGGTGGTATTAAAAACTTACAAGGCAGCACAGCATCTAATAAAATCTTACATTATAGAAAATGGAATTATATAGAATATTTATATTTAGTACTAAGTTTATTGTACTTGACTGTACCTGCAGCTGATCCTGTCGTCACATTTGAGTATTCGTGCTCCTCTGGCTCATTATTCCTCCCTGTTAAAAGAATAAGATAAATTCATGAAAAGACAAGTTACTGTACTGTATTCAGGGTACACTGGCCTACACAAGCATCTCAACTTTTGCATGTAATTCTCACTAGATAAAATGAAGCACGCACCCCTCTTAGCAATCAGTGTTTTTACGATCAGTTAAAGAATATGTGACAACCCTAGATTTATTTCAAATCTAGATATTTTTCTTTAAACGTAAGAGATTGTTGATCAGTCCAAAAAGTATATACTGTACCATGTTCAGGTTTTTCAGAGTCTCTGATTGTTTCATAGAGACAGACGTCACCTACAGAACAGAAAATCAAGGTATTAATCATTTCCCCATTATCCCATTATCTATTAACTCCCTAATCCTCTAAAACAGATATATCGACACTAGCAATGTTGGTCCTCAGCCCCGTTTCCACCAGACACTTTTGGTATGGTATATACCCCAAGAGAGGGGTGACCAAAAATGAGGACAGTACGGAACAGTCCCATAGGTACCATCCATAACTCTTTACAGTGGAAATGGAAAGTAAAAATTACCGAACTAAACTCTGTCATACAGTACTGCTCGTTGGAAATGGGGATTTATATTTAATTATGAATAATTAAATGAATCAGGTTTGAGGCTGACCGTGGAGAAGAGAAGCATACTCTCTGCCTTGGGTTTCATCCTGGTTGATCATGTGGTCTGGAGCAGGACTCTGATTGGTGCTCTGAGACCTGGTGGGTCCAAAACATGAAGTAAATACAGTGGGTTTAATAAGGAACATGTAATGTGCTGCTGTTACGTTCAGAATGAGAGAAGAGAGTGTTGGGCCGACCTCATAAAGCATGAATCTGTAACAAAAGAAAAAAAAAGACATTAACTGTGACATTGTTTAGTATTGCAAATTGTTCTATTGTTACTACAGTACATGTGATTACATCACAATCTGATATCAGCAGGAAAAGATATCACCTTTTGACTTTGTGTAGCGACACACAAACAGCAGCAGGAGAAGAATCAGTGAAACTCCACCAACCAGCCCAACAATCAACAGCACAGGAAATGGAGAGCTTTGTTCAGGCCTGGACGCTGCTATAATAAATGATTAATCAATAATAAAAAATCTTAATAATTATGTAGATAACACATTTCCTAAATGGATTTTTTCAAAGCACCAAAGAATCAAGGTCACATCAAGCCTCAGTAGCAAAACTCAGGAGTAAAAACTTGAACATACTTTCTGCATTTAACCTCAGAGGACAACTGTGGTTATGAGGATGTGGTGGCAGTTTCATTCATACTACAGCTGAGGGTCCGCATCAGCCCTCAGCAGGTAAATGAGGGCTGGTTAACCGTCCTCTTCCTGAAAACATTGGGTGAAACTGAAACTAAGAGGACGCCACTGGGTCTGGGGTGAAAGTCGGTCGAAAATTCAGCTTAAAACTCATTGGCCGTGGCTAGGTTTATCACAGTGTTTTGGACTGGACTGGGGTGTGGAACACGTGTGCTATGCTACGTTTGCTAAAGGTGCTTACAGACCTAGAGTTGTCTTGCTTTGGTCTGAATCAGGGACCAATTATGTTGCAGAATTCCCTATAGTTGGTTTATGTTAATTTCATCAGCATTTACAAGCGGACTAGATCAAATGCCTTGTGTGAGAAAGGTGCTCATGATTTGTCAGAATTTCCAGGCAGGAAAAATCCCGCAAAACATTGAAAAAGAGTACACTTGCAAGATAAATGTGGCACTTTCTAATGTCACAATGGAGGGACACCTACGCAGGTTGATTTTAGCGCTGCTCATCGTGGATTATATTGCTGTCATTGTTCATTTTAGTCAAACCATACAGTTTGAAAAGGAGACGCAGCTCCAACTAGAAAACAATGTTTTGATGCATTGGATGTGCTGAATGTGCATATTAAGGCAGTACAGGAGGAGGTGCACATTAATAATCCTCCAGGACTGTAACATGCTCATGTTTAACCCAAACAATGTGTCATGTGACTGCAGTTGCTTCAGATCCAGGTCAGAAACCAACCGCACCAGAGTTAGTTTGTAACCGGACCGATACCACCTGTTCAAGAAGGTCTCAGTCCGGTTGTTTTGGTGCACACCTGAGTGTGATTGCTGTGTTCACACCTGCCCAAATTAACCGCACTTAGGCGGCAAACAAACTTGAGTTCGGTTCATCCGAACCAAACAGGGCAGGTGTGAAAGCACCAGAAGATGCTGCTGGGTCCAGAGTGAATGTCTGTGAATGTCTACAGTGTTTTGGACTGGACTGAGATTGGAGCAGTCAACGCGCTTGCTTACAGCCCGTGTGATCACAAAAACTGTCCTGCCCGCGGGCATCTGCACAGGGGTCCGTGCAGAGCTTCACAGACATGAATGGATGACAATATTTACATCACACATACCAGAGCAGACCCTGGTGAAACTCAGTGAAAACATTTCTGTCACCAATTGTAACACAGTTTACAAAAAACAATCTATTTTTAAATCATACTCACATTTTACTGACATCCAACTCTCTGGTGATGTCAAATCTTTTCTTCTACATGAGTAAAAGCCTTTGTCTGACTTTGACACTGCAGAGATTGTCAGCTCCCCTCTGGTATCTTTATGGAAGAGTTTGCCATTTTTGTAGAAATCCACATTATAAGGAACATTTTCTGTCCTCAATTTGCAGCCAAGAGTGACAGAATCTCCCTCAGGAACAGGATGGGCAGGGCTCACCAGGATAATATCACCGTCTGTAAAATGATCAATGAATATGAAGTTTTGGTCGCAAAGATCAGCTGGTGCAGCTTAAACAAGCTGACATATATTAAGCAGGTGTTTGTAAACGAGCAAAAACATTATAGTACTTGTGCCAAATTCTCCTGTTGACATAATTTCCGTGCAGATCGGCCTTAGACCAAGCCCTTTATTTCAGCAGGTAGAGACTGAGCACAGGAAACATTGACGTTTGGCAAAGTATATACAGTTCATGCCAATTTACACAAACAGCCAACCTCCATTATACTCTATGCTAGCACACACAATTTGACACTATTTTAAAACGATAAACTCGACCCACCAAGGTTGAATCTACAGGACATAGAATAAATGACTTTGGTTTTAGCCACCTACAAATAAAACTATATAAAAGAAAGTTGAAATTAGTCTGATACAAATAATGTGATTTACACTCACTGCTTTCGGTGATGTTGACTGCATTGCTGAACTGTCCTGTGTGAGATTCACACCAGTAGACTCCGTCAATGTTCTGTGAGCTACGGATGTTGCATGTGTTTCCATTCACTGTCCCCCAGGAAAAACAGTGTGTCAGGTAACCGAATTTAGAAAACCTCCTCACTCTCCACTCAGTAGAGTTTCCCTCACAGCTCAGTGACAGAGAGTCAGAGGTGAAGTGTTGCACTCTGTCAGGACTCACTGTGAGAGACCCTGCTGAATGAAAATCTGAAAAACAACACACATAGGAAGTAAAGCATTAAAAGTAATGTTAGACAACAATAATGCAAACAATCCTGTTTTTATTCTTTTTTAACTGTTGGTCCATAGAAGCAATGGATCGTACCAATAGATGTTTATAATAAGATTAAAAATACAACTAAATGTCCAGTATTCAAAGTTTCTGGGGGAAGAGAGAAGGAAAAACAAAGACAAATTGAAGGAAGTACGAAGGAGGATTAGAAAAGAAGAACTAAGGACAGTGAAAATGACAGAAGGAAAGAGGAAATCAAAACAGAAAGTATTCGTGCCTTCACCTTAGACATATTTAACTAAATGTATTTGTTTATTTTTCAGATTCCTGGTGACATGTCTTAACATTAAACACATACAGTGCCCAACCTAGCACATTCGGCACACGAGGCAATCCCATCCATCCATTTTCATCCTCTTATCTGAGGCCGGGTCGTAGGGGCAGCAGGCCAAGCAAAGCACCCCAGACATCCCTCTCCCCAGTGACGCTTTCCAGCTCCTCCTGGGGTACCCCAAAGTGTACCCAGGCCAGATGAGATAGGTAATACCTCCAGTGTGTTCTGGGTCTGCCCCATGGCCTCCTACCAGTGGGACGTGTTTGGAGCACCTCTAATGGGAGGCGCCCCTGAGCCCTATTAAATCAGATCCCCGAACCACCTCAACTAACCCCTTGTAACGCAACGGAGCAGCGGCTCTACTCTGAGCTACTTCCAGATATCTGTGCTAACCCTATCTCTAAGGCTGAGCCCAGCCACCCCACAGAGGAAACTCATTTTATCACTTGTATCCGCGGTCTTATTCTTTCCGTCACTACCAAAAGCTCATAACGATTGGGGGAGGGGAGGCAGTCCCCTTAGTTATTATTATTGTCCTTATGTTTAATAATAATAAGAATTGTATAAACAAATATTTATAATATTTTAGAGAGTAGGGGGATTTTGGCGCCACCCAAAACAGCTGCCTATTTTGCGCATAGGAAATTTCTACAGAACACACATGTTGAAAGGTGTATGTTTCCCAACAAGCAAGGAAAAGGCAAAATAAACCTACCCCCAGACCAGACAAACTTGGGTCGACTGTAAAGAGTATAATACACTGGATCTCCTCTTCCAGCTCTGCACACATATCCTGCTGTGTGTGTCTGTCCATCAACAATGTAGGAATCCTGTTCAGTCCCATGGATGCTGCCAGGTAGACGCTGAAAGCTGTAGAAGGAGTTGTTTGACGGTCTGGGAACAGCCTTATACCAAAAGAACCTCCATCCTGCAGATGGATGTTAAACACTGCAGTTCAGAGTTACTGAGGCTCCAGGACTCAGCCATAATAGAGACACAGTGAGGTCAGGCTGAGGTTTATCTGTTGGAAAGTGATTTCACAGAATGAAAACTGAATGAATATATTGTTGAAGTATATGGACTGCTTGTATCTTCCATCTATGTCTTCAAATATATATTCAGCAAAACAAGAAATGACTTGTATGATATACTGTCGGATACTCTCAATGTGGAGAATTGTCTCGAGTGAATATATATAAAAAAAGAAAGTTGTATGGTTACCTTGAGCATGTCCACAGTAGAGGAGTATATTCAGGGCTAAAATACAGTTTGAAACTCTTTCAGACATCATCAAACGGACAAACTATTAAACACTATACGATAACATCAGGCATTTAAAAAGGTTTTTATCAAAAGAAACTACAAACAGAGAAATTAACTGATGTACTCACAGAAAAACCCCAGCGCACCAGGCAAAGTGTGTCCCATCTTCACATTCAGAACTGACACTCTGTCACTCTGCCTCAGAGAAATCCTCCTACTTTGTATTCAGCTTGAAAATGCAGCAATCGAATCTGAAGTTTTCTGTAACTTCCTCTTCTGAGTGTAGCGTGGGGTTTAACCACAGGATATTTTGGGCACGTATCTAAGATATAAGTCAGTTGAATTTAATCATCTCATCTTAGAGTGGTGGCACCAAAATTGACCAGAATAAAACCTTGCAATGCTTGAGCAGTTTTATGTAGATTGCACACACCAAACACAGCCTAGATCTTTTTTACCATTTTCCTTTTGCGGATATTTTATCATAGGCAGAGAAGTGTCACAGTGGGCACTGTTTACCTGCCATACAAGTCATCATCTCAGCTCATTCAGTAGTTTTCCACTCTCCCTGCCTCTCCACCACACCCACCTCATCATGCTGATGATGCTGCCTCTCACCTGTGGATCATTAATTCCTGTCACTATAAAGACTCCCACGTCACAGACTCTTCATGCCAGATTGTTCTCCGCCTTCATGCAAGACTTTCCAGCGTTGTTTCTGGACTGCTTCCTCGTTACCGGCCCTGCCCATCCCTGGTTGTCCAGTTTCATCTGTTCCCCGGTAAACCACTCTGCCTTCTGTTCTCGACCAAGAGTTCTGCTTCCACTTTCCCAGCTCCTGTTCACTTGTTTTCTGCGGCTGTCTTGAGAGACCATCACCCAGCTCTACCAATGGTCTTCTGTGCTGTGGATTCCTTCACTGTGTGGCTGCACATTCCACCTTTTTGTGGATCCCAGTCTTCATCTGGCTGACAGGCTCTTCCCTGTCCATGGGCGGCTTTGCGTCAGAGAGACGGTTTTGCCTGTGAGTACTCCTGGTTTTTTGAATCCTGGCTCTTCTGACATTGCTCTTTGCCTGCCCCCTCATGTTAACATTGTTGCATTTTGATTCACTATAAAGTCCTCAACAAAAACAGTGAGTTTGTAAAATATGAATCATTTTCATATAATGATCATTTTCACAGGTAAACATGATGATCCAGTGGAGAGCTCTGACTGGTAATCTGAATCCAGATCTGAATCCAGATTTAGCCACAGGCACAAACATTTATGTATGACTGTATATAGTGAAGTACCATTAAATTTGTGTAAAATCACACATTTATAGAATAATATAATGTCATTGATAAAAATTTTATAGATGAAAGGGGTCTAAAGTGGCACTGCACAAACTCTGTTTTTTATGATCTGCAAGTAATTTTCCCTTTTCGCATTGTGTTGCTTCTGTAAAACACTAATTCTAATTCTAATTTCAAATGTATAAAAATGCTTTGTGGAAACTAAAGAAGACTGTTCATTTCAGGGTCTAACTGGGAACAGCCTTCGTGGCATTGTATGATCAGTGCTGATTTATCAAATACATTGTGAAATAATGACGTAAAATGTCAAGCGTGAGTGCTTACATCTTTATCTTCACACTACAAATACAGTCATTTACACAGAATTATGACTGCCCAGTCAGCTATCCACTTATTTGTATATTTCTTGGTAATTTATGACTTCATTTTTTTTAAGACCTGCTGTTCCAAGACTGAGGAAGTGTCATCAGACTTTTATGTGCACTTCCTCAGTAACAGTGATCTAAGACTTATGGAATTCAGCTGCCATTAACCAACTGACAATTGATTTTTTATTTTTTTTTAAACTTGAATTAAATTGATTTAAAAAAACAAATACAGGTTTGAGCTTTAAAAGGTTTTGACAAACACGTTGAGCTTTGACATATTGTTTTTATTTAAATAAAGTCATAAGTTTTCATGCTCATTGAAATGATATATTGATGTACAATCTTGCAGGCAAGAAATTCAACTGTTTTCTCACAATTGTGAAATGGATGTTAGCCCAGACTATGCCAATATTGAACCAGCTTTGTGTCATCACAGTGTGTGCAGATGAACATTGTTTGACTTTCCTCTGAGCTCCCTGCACTGGCAGCACAGGGGTGAAGCCAAACACCGTTCATCTGCACACACTGCGATGCCACACAGCTGGTTCAATATCAGCAAAGTTTCCCTTTATATTCATTGTCTTCTGTGTCGATCAGCAGTGATGTGGTGGTTCGGTGTGATCTGTAGCCTACAGTGGTGGAAAAAAGTTTTCGGACACCCCATGCATTTGTGAAATATTGCATTAAGAATCACTCTTAGGTCTTCAAGTGCAATTTCTTTTCATACAGTCACAGCCAAAATACTAAATAAATCCTAAAAAAGCCATTAAAAACTTAAAATTGATTGGTTCCATAAAAATACATAAGAAATTTTGAGTATTGGGTCATTTTGGTACCAGTGATGAAGGTCGTTCTTTTTATTAAAAGACACAATTTTTGTTGCCAGGCTTCATGTCTACATAAAGCCAGCACATTTGAAAGTTCTTCAGACACAAAAATGGCTAAAACAAGGAACCTAACGCAGGAAACACGCCTGAAGATAAAGATTCTCAGCCAGGAAGGGTACAGCTGCCGCCAGATAGCCAGGAAGTGCAGATGCAGTCCTTCAGCAGTTGGATACACTCTGCAGAAATACAGACGAACCAACAGCTTGGAAGACAAACCAAGATCTGGGCGTCCAAGGATTTCTTCAGCAAGAAATGACCGCATCCTGATCCGCATGTGCAGGCAAAACCGCCGAATGACATCACAGGAGCTTCAGCAGCAGTGGTCAAACCAAACTGGTGTCCAGTGTTCCACCCGCACTGTACGTGGCCAACTTTTAGATCATGGCTTAAGGTCCTACAAGGCTATCAAGAAGCCCCTGATCAATGAGAGACAGAGGTTAGCCCAGAGTCATTGGGCCCAGGCACACAAGAACTGGACAGCCAGGAATTGGAAGAAGATTTTGTGGTCAGATGAGTCCAGTTTCCAGCTTTATCTTCCTCCTACTAATGTGAGGGTACGCAGAAGGCCAGGCGAAGCATTATCTCCAGCATGTACAGTACCTACTGTCAAGCATGGTGGAGGCAGTATCATGGTTTGGGGATGCATGAGTGCTGCTGGTGTTGGTCATCTCACTGTCTGTGATGGCACATTGAACTCTACCAAGTATTGTACCATTCTCGAAACCCACATGCTCCCTTCTGCGCGTGCACTGTTCTGTCGAGGTAAAAACTGGATATTTCAACAAGATAATGCCCCTTGCCACACATCCAAGGCCAGTAGAACTTGGCTGCAGGAGCACAGTATCCAGGTCTTAGAGTGGCCAGCTCAATCCCCGGACATGAGCCCCATTGAAAATCTGTGGTGGATTATCAAAAGGTCTGTTTCAAAGCATAAACCAAAGAAATAGTGAAGTAGTGAAGTAATTCAAGAAGAATGGGACAAGATTACCCCTCAACAGTGTGAAAGGCTCGTGGGGAACATGCCAGCCAGGATTAGAGCTCTACTATGTGCCAGTGGCAGGACTACTAAATATTAAATTGATGATGTGATGGTTTATTTATTTTTTGTTCAGTTTTGAACACATTCTGTTATTTGTTGACTTTGATACCGACAATGTTGAGAACTGACATATTGAAACTGTCAAGAAATTAGTTTTGTTAGTTTTTCTTGTAAACAATAAACAAAAAAATATAATTTATATTTGTTTGTATCTGTCTAATGCAGCCACACCTTTTGAAACACAAAAGAATTTTCTACAAATATTTCATGATAATATCTGAGATTGTGTAAAATTTTAAGGGTGTCCGAAAACTTTTTTCCACCAGTGTATAGTTCGGCTTTAGCTTCTAACTATCTTTGTCTTTTTAACCTGTTGTTGCTGCTGAGTCAGTTTGACATCCTGGATATATCCTTCAAACACACACTGTAGACCCGTCTGTCTGCTTCTCTCTGGAATCACTGTTTCATTTTCCCAAAAATATGATCGTATTTCTTCAGGGAGTGCAGTTAGTTACAGTGTGGGCTCCATGCTCACTCTGACAGCTTGTTGGACCATCACAAAGGGGCGGGGCTTAGTGAACGGTCAAATGTTTGTGTTATTGTTCGCTAGCATATGTTAACATACTGTAAAACGTAAATTAGTAGCCTGGGATATTTGCTTAAATCACTGAAATCAATGAAATCAATAGGCCTATATTTGGGAAAGGCCTTTAATTCCTTTCACACAAAACTGTTGCTCAGCAAAGATGGGGAATATGATCAAATTGTTTATTTAAACCAACTGTGAATCATTCATTTGATCTAGCTCCAACAGAGTAAGTGAGTTACATCACTCAAGGATTACGGCACAAGGCATACCGAGACAACATCACTTAATCCTGTTAAAACAACACATCCAAAGAACTTTTATAAAAACGAACTGCTTGGCAACCAGACCAGGCCTCTAATTGAGACAGGCCTGTATTTGTCAAAATGTGTAGCTACACCAGGCTGGTAGAAGGGACTGGGTAGTAAATTGGGACTAGGCTTTTAAATGAAGTTTCACAGTATGTACGTGCTAGTTGGCCATTAGCTGTAGTCTTTGTGATGTGTTCAAGTGCAACTTTTTGACCATGAAGCAACAGCTGGCCTTGGTTGGCACTAGATCTTTGATGTTGGTTTGGTGTGTCTGTACTCTCACAGTTTAACAACACAGTATTCCAATGGCACATGTATTTTGTATATTTCTAAAGTAATTTGTTGCATGCAAACAGATCTGATGTTAATGTGATGATGTCACTGTCTAAACATGTATCCAGCAATGCATTTTCTAGGTGTGAAAGGAAGTTGAGTTTTAATTATCATATCTCTGACAAGCAGTGCCTTGGCTTTTTTCCCCTTCAGCTCTAGTTGGAGCAAGAAATAGCAGTTTGATATTCGGGTTATTGCTCTATGTTTTATGATTTTTAGGGCAAAGTTATGAGAGAGAAAAAGATGTACTACTGTCTGAACAGAGTGCTTGCTCACTTCTCCTTTGGAGACAGTTTATATTTAGCTTAGAATTCAGTTGCAACTTCCTGTGCATGTAGTTGTGACGAAACTTCATCTT